CTTCCAGCCACATGCTTAGGGGCGGCAATATAGTGGATAAATTATAGGGTTTATACTTGGGCAGACTTTCATTCAAATCCCAAGCTTCAAAGGTGTGATCTTGGGCTGCTTATTAAATTTTTTTTCCTAAATTTATATCATTATTATGATCATCATGGTAGCTGACATAAGAAGCTGAGTGAAAAAAAAAAGGTGAAGGGATTAAGCAAAAACAACAACAACTATGTATAAGCCACAGAGGCACAGACAACAGTATGGTGATAACTAGCGGGAAAGGGGTAGGGGGTAGGTAGAAGAGGGCAAGGGGATAAATGGGGACAGAGAGAGACTTTACTTTGGATGATGGGTGCATGATGCAGTGTGGAGATGATGTTTTGTTGAGTTGTACACTTGAAATCTATATGGTTTAATTAACCAATGTCACCCAATAAACTCAATAAAAATGATAGCTGACATTCATTTAGTATCTACTGTAGAGAGATACTGTTCCAAGCCCATTATCTGCATTAACTCACTGAGGATTTACAGCTTGCAAAGTGGAATTATTATATTCCCTCTTTACACATGAAGATCATGAGATTCTGAAAGGTTAAGTAATTTTGAAGTCATAAAACTAATAAATGGTAAATATAAATTTTAAACTCAGGAAGCACCCATATTCTTAATCTTCTCACTGTGAGGATGTAGCAGTTAGGATAAGCTATGCTGCAGTAACAAGAATTCCCAAATCTTAGTGGCTTGAAGCAACAAAGGTTTAATTCTTGCTTCAGTACATGTATTGGCAGGAAGTTCTTGCAGCCTCATCCTGATTGCAAGACTAGTCTGACAAGCAGCCACCTTTTGGGAAGTTAGCATTTACTATGGCAGAGGTGAAGAGAGCAGTAGAGCAGAGTTTTTCAACATAGTTATTGTCGACTAAATCATCGTTGTGGTGGTGAGATGATGTTCTAGGTACTTAGGATGTTTTTGCAGCATCCCTGGCCTCAACTCACTAGATGCTTTCCCATAGTTGTAACAACCCCAATTTTCCAAATGTCCCAGGGGTGCAACATTCTCCCTGTTTGAGAACCACTGCCTTAGCCTAAGATCTTGCAGCAGCAATGAAATCAGTTGCCTAGACAACAAATATTTGCCAATCCTGGTTTAGAGAATCAAACTTTTCCTGGCAGCAGGGCTTTGGGGTGAGCAGTAGGAATGGAAGGAGATACACAGCCCTGCATCCATCTTTGTTTCTAAAATGTTACTGTGCATTTTGTTAGCATCATGCACTTGTGCCTCTGTGATCTCCAGCTCAGGGGTGAGACAGGATTCACATAGAATTTACTCTCTGCATTTACTCTCTCAACTTAGAGAATCCACATCTTGCAATTACATTTTTAAATTAAAAAAACACCTTTGAATTGATCTCTATCATACATATAGAGAAGTGTACACATCGTAAGTCTACAACCTAATGAGCTTTCACAAGTTAACTCACCCACAAGTGCCATATTGCTCTTTTCAAAGCCCACTCAGTGCTCCAGAGGACCCTGACTTCTAAGAGCAACAATAGCCAACTTAAAACATATTTTTATTATAAACATTTTCAAATATGCATAACAGTTGAAAGAACAGTAAAATGAATCTCAGTATATCTTTCACCAACTTCAAATATTACCAGTATTTTTTTTATTCATTTCATTCTTCTATTCTCCAGGTAGGTAGATAGGTAGGTAGATGGGAAGAGATAGAGATATATCTAATATTATATTTCAGTATAGATATATTATATATATCTGTGCATATATCTGTTGTATATCTATATCGCTACATAATTTCAATTAGATATGCATTTTATAACTTTTAACTTCTGTTTTTTCATTTGAAAAATAGAAATAATAATACATACATCATCGTAGGGTTGTTGAGAATTAAGTGAATTGATATACATACAGTTCTTAGAAGAGCAAGTAGTAAGCATTGTATGAATATTAATTGTCATCATCATCATCATCTGGATATTGGAAACTAATTAGCAAGGCCATAACTGTCCTCCCTTCCTGTCTCTAGGTTTATGCTGTGGTGGTAATTGCATCTGTAGTGGGATTCTGTCTGCTGGTAATGCTGTTTCTGCTGAAGTTGGCAAGACACTCCAAGTTTGGCATGAAAGGTAAGAAGGGTTGTGTTTATTTTACTTCTTATGTGGAATCATTTTTGGCTTATGACTAATGCTAATTACCACTAAAGAAGGAAGCAGCTAGATTTATGATCACTAGTTTTTAAGGCTGAAAAAATAGCAACAAGGATATGATTCTACAAACCAAGACAGAGCAAAATAATGTTGATTACTCAGCACTACCTACTTTCCAATGAGGACAGTTGTCCCAGAAGACATAGGACTGGTTTCTTGAGTATCAAGTGACTAATAATGATATAGGCAAATAGTGCCCAAGTTTCCCTTTTGCATCAGAAAGGACAGCAAGGCTTGGTAGAAGTAGGCTAATTATGGCCATGTGTACTGTGTGCAGAAAGGTTCTCCTGGTCATTTTGACTTCCAGATCTTCCGTGGTAGGCTTTTGGTGCTGTGACTGCTGTTTCAGAATCTCATCTTTTGGAAGTTGAACAGCATTGGGAAGCAAAGTAACAGCCATTTAGTAGTACATCATTGCTTTGTGAATGAGTGACTTCTTTTGTGAAGCGGAAAAATTCAGAGTGCGCGATTAAAATTTAGGGTCTATGTTGCCCAAGAATAGATCACTGGTCTCATTTAGCGAGCTGAAAATTAATTTTAGGGGAAAACTTGTTTAAATGTTCCTATGGTAGGCAAGAGTTTTAGTGGTTTAAGAGCATTTGCTTTGAAGTTTAAACTTACACTAGTATATTGACTAATATATTATTGTTGAGTTTTGTGTGGTCTCATAAATTGCCACAAGATTGGGAAAGCTGTGAAGAAGGGTTAGTGGTGTCTTAGTTGCTTTGGAGAGAAGGTCTGGTGGGTTTTCTTGATCTGTATGGCTTATTACAACTGCCATTGATGTTGCTTGTTTACTTGGAAGGGAATGATTAAATAGCAGGAAGTTGCCTAGCATCCCCTGGCCTCTGACGTGGATTAGATCTGTTTCTGAAGTTTTCTCCTCTCCCTCGGTTGGTGACCATCACCAAGATTCCTAAACCCAAAGTGAAGGGGAGGAGTAGTGGTCACCTGGGACTTAAACCTCTCAAACCTCCTCCTTATACCCTTTGGCCTGCTGACCCTTGACATTTCCTTTGGAGGAAGAAAGATCTGCCATTCTCTAATTATAACTAAGTCTTGGAAGAGGAACTACACTACCGTGATTTTAATTAATCCTATGGTGGTAGCTCACAAACTGGACTTTGCATCAGAAACTCCTGCAGGGCTTATGAAACAGGTTTCTGGGCCACCCCGAGAGTTTCTGATTTAACAGGTCTGCAGTGGGCCCCAGAATGGGTATTTGTAGCACTTCGCAAGGGACACTGATATTGCTGTTGCCTGGGCATCTTGGAGAATCACTGTTCCCTGGGATACACATGGGCTACCAGGTCCCGTTGTGAGTGTGGCAGGAAGCAGGAGAGGTACTGCAAATCAAACTCCCCCACTGCTTCGCAGACCTTCCTGGGCCCCCATGTGCCCGGGCCCAGGCCAGGCTTCTGCTCTCTGCATGTCGGCCACCTCCCATAGCATTTTGCTTTCCTCATTCTGATCAGGGGCTTTCTCTCCTTAGAGGCAGTTGGAAAGGATGTCCCCAGGCATCCATTTTTTACCTAGAGAGGCAGACTCTGGCTCTATCCCTTTCCCACCTTGAGAGTGTAGTTTGAGATCTTTCCAGCTCATGGGTCTTCAGGGAGAGGATCTGTCTAGGTCTTTCTGGGAGCTCAGCAAAGGCTTTGAAAACTCCTCCCTACCCCGACTTAGTGTTAGGAAAACTACCAATTGAGTGATCTGTGAAAGTTATCATATTCTCTGTAGCTCGGATGGCGGAGAGTTTGGTTCAGAGAAGGCTGAGTTCATTCAGAGACTCTGGCACTAAGACAGAAACAGTATTTTATTTGGGTAATTTGGGGTGATTACTGCTAAGGCACCTACATTTTCCACATGTAACCTAAGGGTATTCTTAATGAATTGCAAGAAAAATGTTGCTCAACTTTGTCAGAGAGCCACTAACCGACTTCCTTCAGGCAGTATGCTTAACTCTCTTATTTCTAAACATAAATTAAATACTTTAAAAAATTGTCTTGGAGACTCACATTCCTGTTTAGAATAACCACTTTTTCTATTTTTAGCTACATGTCTATCCGTGCCATGGTTTGAACAAAACAGACCTGCATTGAGGTTATGGTTTTATTAGTCAGATGCTGAGTTGATAATTTTGGGGGAATCTAGTAGATGAGGTTCATGCGATGAGGGAAAATGAAATTGCATAAAAAGTGGTGTTTAAAAATTCATGCAAGCTAATGTACTTTAAATGCTATTAGGGCTGCGATTACTGCTGAAAAAACATATGTCGGAAAAAGGGCAGAATATGTAAAAACACTATTATACTTCCTGAAAAAGCTAGGAAATATGTCAGTTGTGATTTCTGAGTTTCAAGGTAAGAAATGTGTGTAGCCTTGGCCAGAACCAATGTCTTCTTTCCATGTGAAAGGCCACTGGCTCACATGCAGGTGAGCTATTCCAAATGTAACTCTCACCCTCATAAGCACTCTGGGGAGATTCTGCCCCCCAGGAGATTATTCAATTAGAAGAAAAGTTTCAGAGCCACTAGCTGATGCAAAAGTTAAAGTTGTCAGAGCACTTGGAAGACAGCCCCAAACACTCACCTTTCTGTTCCAAGGGCTCCCATGAAACTTGCTGGGTTTCCAGAGGAGGGCAACTCCTTGTTTTATGCTACGAGATATCCTCAGATAAAAATGAACCAACCAGCCAGCCAACCAACCAAACCACAAAACACCAACCAACCATCCAACCCAACCACCTAAACAAACCAACTCACCCCTATTTGTCCCCATATAAAGACCATACCCACCCCAACACAATCACAGTACATTTTCAGTCTGTTTTTATCAAACCATTTTTGAGGAAATGATTCTTCTCATTTTCAAGGGAATCTTTGTTTATTAAAGGATTCTTTACATTTAAAGCTGCGTTAATAGGTCTAAATATTTGTTGGCAGACCATTAACTACTTTTCAGCTGTAAAACCCCTTCTCTGCCGGTTGAATTAAGTGTTCTTTAAAAATGCAGAGAAGGCAGTGCAGGTATTCTTAGTTGCATGGACAAATGAGGAAATGGAGGCTTGGGGAAGTGAAGGCTCTGATCTAGTTCTTACAGCTGGGAAAGGCAAAGTGTTCTGCAAACATAAGGACTCAGATCTCCTGAATGCCATTCAAGTACTTTCCAAAGTGATAAGAGACTACTGTGGGACTTCAGAGAGGTCCTGGGACTCAGGGCTAGCCCTCCAACCTTTCTCCATCCCAGGTTCCTTATCGGTGAAATAGTTTGAATTTGTTTCTTTAGGTATTCTCCTTCTATCCACAGAAGTCTGGACATAGTAATAGGGTAGAGAAACCTAGAGCTAAAATACGATGATCTCTTCATGAAAATGTTAGAAATAAAGATTAAAAACAAACAAACAACCACATCCAAACTAATTAGGCAAATCGAGGGAAATGATCTTGGTTAGAACAAGTTGACCCAAAACTAGCTTTTAAGGAATCATTACCATGTTGTTTGTATATAGACTGTAGAGAGAGTTTAGTGTATATTTAGACATTTGCAAAAGCTTTTTGTGAGAGAGCCACTCACAGCTCAAGTACCAGAGAAGACAATTATCACACCTTTGCCAAGTGCTTGGCATGTGCCTTTTTCTGTGCTTTGTGACTTATTTAATGCTGTCCCCATCTGACATCAGAGAAGGTGCTGTGGAGGATTAGCCATGTGTTTTTATTATCCTGTCTTCACTTCCAGCCACATGCTTAGGGGCGGCAATATAGTGGATAAATTATAGGGTTTATACTTGGGCAGACTTTCATTCAAATCCCAAGCTTCAAAGGTGTGATCTTGGGCTGCTTATTAAATTTTTCCTAAATCTATTATATCATTATTATGATCATCATGGTAGCTGACATAAGAAGCTGAGTGAAAAAAAAAAGGTGAAGGGATTAAGCAAAAACAACAACAACTATGTATAAGCCACAGAGGCACAGACAACAGTATGGTGATAACTAGCGGGAAAGGGGTAGGGGGTAGGTAGAAGAGGGCAAGGGGATAAATGGGGACAGAGAGAGACTTTACTTTGGATGATGGGTGCATGATGCTGTGTGGG